GGCCTCGCGCCGGAGGCCCAGCCCGCCCCGCCCCCCGACCCTCGGAAGACGTCGGTTTGGTTGTCGGCTCCTCCCGCCTGTCTGAAGGGAAAGGGCGGAGCCAATCCGCGGTCCGCTCAGCCCTCCTGCCCGCCCCTCGGGTCACATGACCTCTCCGCGCGGCGCGGCTGCAGCGCCACCTGCTGGGCTGGCGCGTCCCGCGCGTTCAGTGGGCCACCTGGGCCAAGTCCTTTCCCCTGGGTATCTTACTCCCCTACCCCCAGGTCAAACAGTAACTGCAGCATCAATTTTCTTTTCTTCCTGTTTTTTCTTCATTTTCGCCGAACACTAATCATCTGATATGCCTTTTAGTTGAACTGTCTTGTTAAGTTTATGCCCTCTGCCAAAACCGGTTTGGCTCAGTGGATAGAGCGTCGGCCTGCGGACTGAAAGGTTCCGGGTTCGATTCCGGTCAAGGGCATGTGCCTGGGTTGCGGGCACATCCCCAGTGGGAGATGTGCAGGAGGCAGCTGGTCGATGTTTCTCTCTCATCGATGTTTCTAACTCTCTATCTCTCTTCCTTCCTCTCTGTAAAAAATCAATAAAATATATTTAAAAAAAAAAAAAAAAAGTTTACGCCCTCTGCAGCTGAGAGGTAAGTTCCTCCGAGCACAGGACCTTTTTACCCCATACTGTTTGCTCTGTCCCAGAGCAGGGCCTGCAGTAACCAACTTTGCTGAGCGAATGCAGTGATGGTGAAAAATGGAGAAGATACACCGAGGATAAGAGGGAAAGAGAGAAAAAGTGTTTTACCAAACTCTTCAACTGAGATTTCTCCCCCACGCCCATAATTTTAAATTCTAAATTTTAGAATCATACTCTATCTTCAGTTTTGAGTGTTGGTGGGTTTTTAACATAATATAATAACATAAGTATTTTCCTGTGGTATTACATTGCCCCTTTAATCCTAATTCTAATGCCAGGATAGAATGTACACAGTAACCGGATTCCTGGTTGCTAGATTGCTTGCTTTCATTATGTGTTAGAAGCAACAGTAATGAACTTTATGCATAAAGCTTGGCCTCATTTAGGATTATAAATACAATCCTGTACAAATACTCTACAAAGGAAAGCCATCCCAAATGTTTATTTTCACATGGCTATTTTACTTATATATCCCCTAAAAGCTTACACTCTTCCCCCTCCCCCCCCAACACACACAGATTGATGAATTCTTCCCAATTCTGTATTTATGAAGCACTGGTGTTTTGGGCAGTAGGATTGGCTGTGAGATACCTCAGTTGGGTGGTTGTTATTATGATGGTGATTATTTCTCCCTGGTAGGATATTTAGGTTCTTTAGACCTGGTTATAAACCACCACCTAACAGCAGAAATGTGTTGGTTGACTTACTCCACTCATTAGCATCAGCTGGTTAGCCTTCTTCCCTGAACCCTGACAGCAAACATGTGAGCTGGTTCCTTGTCAGACTCAGCGCTCTGCTTTCCTGAAAGGTTTCTTACCGTCCAGCTTTCAAACACTGATACTTCTGGTTGCCCTGTTGAACTATCATTATGATGTTCATGTGATTTGTAATACTTGTTATGTGTACATTTGTTACATATATGTGGTTATACTATTATGTTACATAGTGTCTCACACTCAAAGTATATGTGTCTGCTAGAATTAAATATTTCAGACAATACTATGTAATGTTCTCTCTCATCTATATCTGTATTGATGTACAGGTTTTACTATAGTTAAAGGGTTTAGACCAGAATGTACCAGGAAATAGTAAGACTTATGGTTGAGACCACATGGATTTATTTTATGACCGCCAGAGGAGGGAAATTGGTTCTTAATATTTTTTGTGCCTTATTTATGGGACCTTGTTGGCAGTTTGGTGAAGCTTTGCAGCCCTTCTCAGAATAATGTTTCTAAATGTATGAACTACATAGGATTACATTGAAAAGTCTGATTGAAACAGCTCTATCCGTGGGCCCAGCTTAAACCCTCTGAAGCTTTATAAGTGCAGCTGACCCTAGAAAGCACAGGTTTGAACTGCATGTTCACATCTATACAGATTTTCAATAAATACAGCTGTCCCTTCATATCCACGGGTTTCACATCTGCAGATTCAACTGGTCACGGATGGAAAACAGTATTTTCACATTCCCAACTGCCAATTCCCAAGTGCTGTTTCAATCTGCAGTTGGTCGAATCTGGGTATTTTAAACACAGATTTTTTACTGCATGAGGAGGAAGTGTCCCTAACCCCATGGTGTCAAGAGTCGGCTGTATTTATTTTGCTCAGGATGCTATAACAAAGTTCCACAGTCTAGATGGCTTAAACAACATAAATTTATTTGCTCACAATTCTGGAGGCTGGAAGTCTGAGATTAAGGTGGCAGCAAATTTGGTTTCTGAAGGCCTCTCTTTCTGGATCATAGACAATCACATCTCTATCCTCACCTGGTCTTTCCTCAGTGCGGGGGTGGGGGGGATGGGGGGGAGAGGGTGCTCTCTAATGTCTCTGCTTGGAAGGACACTAATTCTGTAGGATCAGGGCCCCACCCTTAAGACTTCATTTAACCTTGATTACTTCCTCAGAAGCCCCATCTCCAAATATGTTAAATACAGCCACACTGGGGGGTTAATAATATACGAATTGGGGAGAGGGGTGTGTGCAAACCTTCAGTCCATAACAGTCCACAGGAGTTACCTATATTCCTTTTTCTTAGAAGCTCTTGGTGGTTGAAGTTCTAGGACCCTGAGAAATGGAAGGCACATAGGGATTCTGGTGAATGAAAGATACCTAAGCAACCCAAGAACACTGACAAGTGAGCAGGGTCTTTACCGTGTTATGATACCCTCCTGGTTGTAATTAATGTGATCAGAACATTGTTCCTGGATCTGAGTCTTCCCATTGAGGAACAAATGTTTATCGGAGGAACTGTAACAGAGATGGACGATATCAGAAGCTATCAACTGTACGTACTTGTACTTATACAATGTAAATAACTCCACAAATATTAACTTATCTAGTTCTTTAAATATATTTTTAAAATTTTCCTATAGCAATTTCCTTTTCCTTTCCCCAGTTGGAGGAGTAGGTATAAGTATTGTTGCAACTGCGAGATTTAGAGTTAGAACAATCAACAGACTAGAGGTGCTGTAGGGGTTCCTGTTCAGCTATGAGGGACGAATATGGGGCAGAGCTGGACCACTAATTAGCTTGAGGACAGGAAGAGGCAGCCATGATGGGCACGCCCCGTAGCCATCCCCCTCCCCCGGGCGTTTTAGTGCCTTGAAGGGGATCAAAGCTCCTCACGTTCTCAGAACGTTGCCTCGTCTTACTCCGGACCCTGACGGTGAAGCCCCCTTGGTTCTGTGAGTAGTAAGAGCCCTAGACAGTCTGTGATGAGACAGAGCAGATGGCTCAAGGAGCGCCCATTAAGGATAACGTTAGCCCTGGGCATCATGCCAGGGGTTTTATGGGGCCATCCTTTCAATTTCTCAAGACACAAGCTATTACACTGCACACGCTGGAAAGACTTCTTTCAAACCCCTGGAAGCAGCGAGCCGAACAGGAAGCTGGAAAGCTTAGTTGAAGCCTTTGGCCCCTGCTCAGAATGCGAAGAGCGTCTCCAAGGTGCTGAAAACTATGTCCATGGTCGGCAAACCGCGGCTCTTTTGCCCCTTCAGTGTGGCCCTTCCACAAAATACCACGTGCGGGCGCACATGTACAGTGTGATTGAAACTTTGTGGCCCATGCGCAGAAATCGGTATTTTGTGGAAGAGCCAGTATTTTGTGGAAAAGCCACACTGAAGGGGCCAAAGAGCCGCAAGTGGCTCGCGAGCCCCGGTTTGCCGAGCCGCAGTTTGCCGACCACTGAACTATGTCTGTGTGGTAATGGCAGTCCAGCACAGGGGAGACCTTTGGCACTTGGGCAGGTAGAGCTCAGAATGGGAAAGCACTGTCACTGAGGTTGCAGTTGACACAGGGAGACCCTGCTGGGTGGAGATGAGGCTACACCGGTCACCCCCTGGAAGGAGGGGAAGCCACAAGCGAATTAGAGGAGATTCCACAGGGGTCCTTGTTTGAAATCCAGGAGGTGATTCGCTGCCTGGGTAATGGCTGCAGTTGTGCCGAGCAGTGCCTCCCGGCCACCTGCGGGAGCTGCGGCCACTCTGCCCTGCCAGACAGAGCCAGGGACTGGAGCCAGGACTTCCTCCCAGCCAAGGCGCTGTCTTGCATGTCTTTTGTTTGCTTCATGCCTCATTGTTGTTGTTTTTTTAAATTGTGTTGCTGTTGTAAAGACATCTTTTTGGTCTGTTCCTTCCCTCCCTGTTATGTTACCCAACTTGTTTTGTTGGTGCACTGAAGGGGTACCGAGCAAAAGAGCAGAGTGTCAAAGGGCAATTCACCTAATCGCACTGCCTCGGTGTCACATCTGCCGGGTGGGGCTAACACCAGTTCTCACTGTTGTCGTAAGAGTTGAATTGTAACACGGAAGAGTAATGAGCGCCCTTGGCCCAGTGCGGCACTTAGCACTGTGGTCGCCCCAGATGGCTGCTTAGCGCTTGAGATACAGCTCGTGAGACTCAGGAACCGAATCTGTAATACAATTTACACTTGAAAACCCACCTGTGATAGTGGCGTCAGATTGAACATCTCAAGGTCTGACCCTCCGTGACAGGGCAGGGCACCTTTGCCATGGCCCTGACTTTCACGCACTCCTCACATTTCACCAGTAAGTACGACGTGGCGGACACTCGGAAAGATACCCTGTACCCGTTTTGCTGACTGTTGGTAAATGTTTCCCTCCACGTCCCACGTGGATCAGGGTTCAGGACCTGGAAGCGGAGCCGCACACAAATGAAAGAGAAAATTCACGAGATAATTTGGAAATATTGGGGGACTAGGCGAGTAAGTCCAACTCAGGAGGAAGGACTTCCACTGGTGCTCAGGCCTCACCAAGCTTTTATTGATCTGGGATACACCCATAGCATAGCCCTTAGGCAGGCGACCCCTGGCAACAGGCAGACTACCAGGGGTGGGCAAACTTTTTGACTCGAGGGCCACAATGGGTTCTTAAACTGGACCGGAGGGCCGGAACAAAAGCATGGATGGAGTGTTTGTGTGAACTAATATAAATTCAAAGTAAACATCATTACATAAAAGGGTACGGTCTTTTTTTTTTTTTTAGTTTTATTCATTTCAAACGGGCCGTAGTTTGCCCACGGTTGGACTAGCCCATCAGCAAGGATTTACATAATAATAAACGGGGAAGTTGCTTCAGCTACCACTGTCTGGACAAACAGAGGTGGTGCCTAGCTCTGACCTTTGCTAGGGCTTCAAAGGCACCCAGCCTTGGGGAGGGGCGGGGTTCTCTGTCAACGCTTATCAGCTAGTGAAGACAATAAACGGTTTCCCACAGCTGACAGTTTCACCATGAATTATCATCAGATGTGCAGATGCGTTTCTGCATCTATCAGAGGATGGTCTGGTTTTCTCCTTCACTTCTTCCATGTGTTGAACAACAACGATAGATATTTTTCTGATGTTAAACATTCTTGTATTTCTGGGATCAATCCTCCTCGATTCAGATACACTTCAAATCCTCCTCGTTTTAAATACACTGCTGTATTTGATTTGATAATATCGTGTTTAGGGTTTTTGCATCTATGGTCATTAATAATATTAATCCAAAACTTTTGAGTATGTCCTTGTCCGGGTAGAAACATGGCATCATGAAGGAGTTGGGGAGCTCCCCCCTTTTCTATCCCCTGAAACAATGTGGAAAAGGGAGAAAGAGGCTTCTTTGTCCTTTGAAAGTTCGACAGACTCTCCACGAATCCCTGTGCGCCGGCTCTGGTGGAGAGCACAGGCTTTTAAAATTTCTGATTCAGTTCCTTGGTTATTTGGTGTCTTATTTTTCTTGTTATTTTGTTCATTGATGTGTTTTTCTGTGTATGTTTCCATCTCCTTGAAGTTTTAAAGCTCAGTGTTGCCGCTGGTGTTGCTGGTCAGGACGGGCTCTGGGTGGATGGTACCCCTGGATTAACAGCACCTCGCTTCTTCGCATGTCTGTGGACACAGCACACGCAATTTCTTGCCGCCTCAAAGAATGGCCCCCACTGTGGGCCTAATTTGCAGCGATTTAATTCAAACGAAAACCTGGACGGTCACGTGGCCTAGGAAAACTGGGCTGCGGGTTCTGTAATTTTGGGCCCCCGCTTTCCTGCCACTTCTTTCTAGAGAGGCAGTTCTTGGATTGCACACCAGTGTGGGTGCCCGGCCTCCTCCTTCGGGCAGCTTAGCTGTCTCCGGGGCCCCTAAACTGTAGCCGCCGGCGCTCCAGGGCAGCCCCATGTCATTTCTGCGGGAGACAGTGGACCCCCCTCTCCCCCCGCCTCCCCGGGGAGGCGGCGACCTGGTGCAGGAGCCCCCAGACTTGGCTGCGCGCTGCTTTGGTGGAATCTCATACCGGCGGCGACCCACGTGCGCCCTGGGCTCCCTCAAGTCCGCGGGAGGGCTCGGTGCCAGCGCCCGCCTCCCTGGGCGGCTCCGGGGAGATCAGGGTCCCTGGGTGGCAAAAGCCGTCTACCCGGAAACGGGCGGGTAGACGGCTTTGGGGAGGAATCTCTGCGGGGCAGGCGCACAGCACCTGAGCAGCTGTCTCTGGGGAGCAAAGCGAGGATGCAGAGGTCCCGCAGCACCTGCAGGGAGAGGGCGCGGGGCGCGCTGCTCCGCCTTGCCCGCTGCTGTTTGCTCGACCGCCACCAGGGGGCGATGCGCCCTCGTCCTGCGTCCAGGAAGCCAGGGTCAGGGGTGCGCATTCCTCCTGTGGATTAGAAGGGGCCAGAGAATCCTGGCCTCGGTTGCACACTGCTAGGCGGTCCAATGGTGAGAGCTCTCAGGTCCTCCGGGAATGTCGGAGGACAGTCACTCCAGGGGACATGAGGCCACCCTGGCAGCGGTGGGCTCAAAGTCATTGCCAGGCTCCAGACAGGGTTGTCACCTGCAGGAGGAAAGCGATGAATTGCCATTATGGGGAACAGCCTGGGAGCTCGGGACCAAAGGGGCCTTAGAGCCGTGTGTGGGGAAGGCAGAACTCGCCAACCCTGAGAGAGGCCCTTTCACGTCGGGCCCCAGCCAAGGATGACAGCTGTCGTGAGCTCCCACTGCACCTCCTGTCCACCCAGTGAGGTCCGAGCTCTCCCGGGCTGGTGGCCGGGGAGCCCAGGGGCCTTTGTAAGACACGAGGGTGTCTACTCTCCATTTCTGGAACCTGATGTGTCCAACGGTGACTGCACTTTGCTGCTATACTGGAGAATAATTTCTGTTTAATTTGTCCCATTATAACTTTGATAAGAGCAGTTTCTCAGCGTTGGTGTTAGGATCACCTGGGGAAGTTTTAACGCCGCCCAGGCTACACTCCAGCCTAAGTCAGAATGGGAAACGAAGCCCCGCGTCTCAGTGTTTCTCAAAGTCCTGCCAGTGACTCCAAGGCGCAGCCATTCCTTGGAGTTTCCCCTAACCCGGCAGGTGCTGCAGGTGCAGGGGCCGGGGCTGGGAGCTCCCACAGGCCTGCGGGGCTTGGCTGTTGGCCTGATGGGATTAGAGGGCAAGTTCTAAGGAGTTTGGCGACTCACAGCAGAAATCGATGTCACAGGTTTGCTTTATAGGAAGGAATACAGGTGTGTTGAGGGCATCCCAGGAGGGAGGTAAACTGGCCTCTGTCACATGGAGGGGCTGAGCCTGGGCCTTGGGCCCCAGAGCGTCTCATACGATGACCTGTCTCATCTGGTGACCTGCCCCATTGGTTATCCTTGCGCTTTAAGAAAATTCACACCCAAAGGTGAACCTGGTTTGAGCCGGGCTCAGGAAAGAGTCCGGTGGGCAGGTAAAGAGGAGCCTAGTTTAGGCTGACGCGGTGGCTGGGCACAGCAGGCGGGGTCAGCGTGGCATGAGCAGTGACCACAGACAGAGCAAGGAGCAGCGGCCAGAGCCAGTGAGTGGCAGAAATGCATGGTGCCACAGTGACTTGGAACCTCTGTGAATCTCTCTCCCCAAGACTGCCCAAGGCCCCAGACCCCTTGAAAGCGAGGCTGGAGGTTCTATGGGGAGGGCAGAAGGAGGGGCGAAAGGCGTTATTAATTGGGCATTGTGATCAATGTCACCTCATCTGTACTGAGGAGCTGTGATCAATGTTACCGCATCTGTACTGAGGAGCAGGTGAGGCCCACCACACATTGGCTATAATCAAATCAGTAACTCCTCACTTAACGTGATCCATAGGTTCCTGGAACTGCGGTGAAACGATGGATACAGAAATCACAGTTGCCATAGCTGATTGATGTAAACAAGAGTTAAGTTCTCACGGCATCTTATGGCAAAACGATGTTGAATGAAACGACGTTATTTGAAGCCCTGCTTTCGCTCAAGAGTATGTATAGCTCAAGACCTGGTCACGTTTCCCTTAACGGCAGCCCATCTCCGTGGCCCTCCGTGTGGAGCGGGAGCCGTGGTGCCGCAGGGAGGTCAGTGGCCGAGCAGTCGCTCCCGACAGCCCAGCAGCCGGGGCCGGAGGTCCGGCGCTTATACTTGGTGCGTGTGTACGGGGTGGCGGCGGCTTTGAGTCAAGGCTCTTCCCTGGCGGGCGCAGTCACAAGCAGCAACAGCCAAAGCGAGCTGGGGCGTCTGAGTCTGCGCTGTCTGGGACGGTTGGTCTGCGGCCTTCCCGAAGCAGAACCGGGGGCCAGCAGGCAGTGACCTCCCCTGAGCAAGAACCAGCGTCGTTTAGAAACATCTGTAACGTAGCTCTTTACCGTCCTCAAGACCCTCCCCAGCCAACTTACCCGGTCCCTCTAGGCATGATTTCAAGCACTGTGTCGCCATAGAGATGATTCAGGCTCCTGTTGCCATGGTGACCATTCCGTGAGCTAAAACGCTTCCATCAATCCTCCCCCCTTGCCACTGCCATATGATGTAAACATATATATATATACATGATGTGAAAATCATATATATGCATCCTTTCTGAGCATGTACAAGTATTTTGAGGTCAACACATGTCTTGGCGAGCAGAGTGGTTCAGGTGACACGGCCTGGTCTCTGTGACCGATGCCACATACCCGACACTGTACAGGTCACCAGTCAAATGAGGGCTGTGGGGGGGCAGAGCACTCCCAAACGCAGGGTTTTCAGGAACCTTGGGAGAGAATGCCGCTCTGGCCTGACGCCGGAGGCAAAGGGACCTCGCCACCCACGTGCGCCCTCCCAGGAGAGAAGGAAGCGCAAAGGTGCTGACTGTCCTGAGAACAGGAACGACAGAGGCCGCGGGACCAGGAGGGACAATGTAAGGTGCCTGAGCACTCACCTTGCGCTGGTGGGGGGGCGGGGGTGCAGCCCACTGAGTCTGGCTAGTTCTCCTGTCCTGCTTCACAGAAAAGAATGAAGAGGTGGCCCGGCCGGTGTGGCTCAGTGGTTGAGTGTCAGCCCATAACCAAGAGGTCACTGGTTTGATTCCCGGTCAGGGCACATACAAGGGTTTCTGGCTTGATCCCCAGTTGGGGGTGGGGGGCAATCAGGAGGCAGCCAATCAATAATATTTCTCATTCGTCGAAGTTTCTATCTCTTTATCCCTCTCCCTTCCTCTCTCTCTAAAATCAATAAAAACATATTTTTAAAGAAGAAAAAGAGGTGAAGAGGAAGGCCAGAAGTCCCCAGGTCTATGGAACTTAGAAAAGGAGAAGGCACCTTGCCCAACATCGAGTGTTTTTCTTGAAACTATCTAGAACTTGTGGCAACAAAGTGGAAGGAATTATTAGGGACAAGCCTGGAGGTGGGAGGAGAAGGGAGGGTGTTAGGAGAGCCCGGGAAAGACATCAAAGTCCTGACTAAGGTGGTGGTGGAGATGGGAGATGGGTTTCTAACTTCAGAACAATCGGCGTGTCACCAAGGCGATGCCCTGGAACGCAGAAGGCTCTGCGGGTTTCCCACAGATGGCCGGGAAACAGCCTTCCAGGGCCCCGGATTGGGATACTGCCTGAGGGGGCACAGGGCCCCTTGCTTATTGGGTAAGAACCTCTGGGATGCAGGAATGGATGCCTGCTGTCTGCCCAGTGTCCCGCTCCTACCTCTGTCCATCACCCCTTCCTCTATCTTTTGGAGAAATTGCCGGTCCACTGTCCAGTCCATCACAGAATCTCATCCTCCTGGTCAGAAATGGACTTGCCGTCTCTCCGGCCACAACAAGTAGCTCAGAAGTGGGCACATGGCTCAGTGTGAGTCACCCATGGCCTTTCCCGGTAATGCCCTTGAATAAGGCCCTTTGTGACTCTCAAACTGCTGGGGGCTAGAGTCTGGCCGGTGGAGGAGGTCTGACCTCCCTGGGAAACATGTCAATGTAAGAAGACAAGTAGGAGTGAGTGATGGACACAGAGAATCTGACTCCACCCAGACCCAGATCTCCCGTCAGTTCCTACAGCTCCCCATCCCGTGAGCCAGCCAGGATCTTCTCACAAACCGCCTCCATCCTTTCCTTTTTTCCTTAAGCCAGGCTGAGCTGCCTTTCTGTCATTTACAATCAAACAATTTTTTGCTGATATCAGCGCAAAGGAAAGGAACTTCGGTGACTTCAGTGGCTGTCTCCCTGGCGTGAAGGAATGCGGAGCCAGCGCCTGGACTGCGCACCCACACGAGCGGCTGCAGGAGGGTGGGTGGCAGTGTTGCCCATTCTGTTCAGTCGAACAAAGGGCTTTTATAAGGACGGCGCTAAACAGAAGTCGGCAAACTCTCCCCAGGGGGAGTATGAGCCAGGGACAGCACTTTGGTGCTGCACAGACACATAAAATGTAAGGAAACATCTCCCGAAAGCAAGGATTGTTTTTAAAAAGTGTTTTAATATCAGAGAGGATGGACTCTTCTCTGCTTGTATTTTAGAGACAATGAGTGAGAACCAGAGAGGAAGATTGGACTCCTCTTTTTACAAGAGGCCGGGGACTGGGCTACTGAGGCCTGGGGTCGCCCAGGTCAATAACGTAAGTTTTACTTGTGAACGAGAAACTCGCTTCCTGGTAATTCTGTGGCATCAGAGTCTGGGCTGCCTTCACAAAGCGCTTGTATCTAATGATGTTGAAAGCACATTTTAAAACAGCGTTCAGTCAAGGGAGGAGGTGTGTGCCTCGTTCCCACTTGGTCCCAAGCAAGAAACCGTGGTATCTCCACAGGAACCTGCCTTGAAGACTATGTGGCGAGGTCTAAAGCTTCAAATCACAGGAGAACCCGTTGCTTCTAAACGAAGAATGCCCAACGCCCTTATTTGATTTGTCAGCAGTGAATGCATGCAAGACTTTAATTCAACGCAAAACCGGAGTCCTGGCAAGTTCGCAGAGGCGTGGCCTCCGAGGGGTGCCGGTAGGTGGCGCAGCAGGCTAACTCACGCCCCTTCTCCGACTGCTGGCTGCCTGGCTTCCACTGCACCTCCCGTCTTATCAGGTGGTCATTGCAGGCCGCCTGATAAGCATTCAGGAAATGCTCAAAACCAGTTCAGCAGAAAGTATGTCACCTCAGTGGAGTGATGCGTAGTATTAGGATGTCTCTGCCAAGATGTTTCAGAACCTGAAATCGGCCTATTTCTTTATTTCTTGAACGTATATGAAAACAGGACTTTTACACTAATCATATGGAAGTGAACAGGTCATAGACATAAAGTAATGGTTTTTGTCCCCACAGTTGCCTAATTCTAATCCGTCCTATGGGTTAGCCCTTCTTTGCTGCTTGAATGATATCTAAAGCCATAATGTCTCTGGTTGCCCTTGAATAATGAATAGCCTTCTATTTACTTTTAACCCCCCAAACTGTCTTACTTCTGTAGTTAGAATAGTGATTCTTATAACCATCAGACACTGAACTATTTGTGAAGTTAAACCTCCTTGTTCTCCCCTATCTCAGGCTCATTTTAGTCTAGGGCAGGGGTGGGGAGCCTTTTTTCTGCCAAGGGCCGTTTGCATATTTATAACATCATTCACGGGCCACACAGAATTATCAACTTAAAAATTGGCCTGCTCTATTTGTCAAACATTTAATTAACTCACCCATAATGCCTTGGCAGTGCCAGACCAAATGATTTCACAGGCCTTATATGGCCTGCGGGAAAGATGTTCCCCACCCCTGGTCTAGAGGCTTGCATTGGAGAGAAATGCGTGTACCTTCTAGATTTTCCCCACTTAGCTTTTCCACTCCTTCTTCACTCAGTCACTCATTCCTCTCGGCCCCTGAGGGTAGCTGTATGGAGAGGAGGACAGCTCGGGAGCAAGACGGTCTTTCCTGGCTGGCACCGAGGTAAGATGGCATTCTACCAAACATGAGTTCACAATCAGACCTGTAAAACAGCCCTGGCAGCGTGCTCAGTGGTTAGAGCATGGCCTGTGCACCGAAGGGCCTTGGGTTCAATTTCCAGTCAAGGGCACGTAACTCAGTTGCAGATTCGATCCCCAGCCCCAGTCAGGGCACGTGCAGGAGGCAACCAATCAATGTCTCATATCAATGTTTTTCTCTCTCCCTTCCTCCCCCATCAGCCCTCCCTTCCCCTCTTTCTATAAAGCAATGGAAAAAAACAAACAAAAAATATAAAACACATAAGGAAACAAGAAAGCATGAGTGACAGCAAAAGTAACGAACTTCAAACTTAGACCCCAAAATACTGCTGATTTTGGCTCCATTGAGTATAATAATAAAAGTGTAATATGCTAATTAGACCAGACGTCCTTCCGGACAAAGCCAGGACTGCGAGGGTGGGTCCCAGATGCCAGCGGGAAGCCGGTGCCGGCAACCAGGGAAAGGAAGGCCTACTCTTGCACAAATTTCATGCATTGGGCCTCTAGTAAAATATAAAATTAGTGTGTTTAATATATTCAAAGAAATAAGAATTTTATACAGGAGTAAAAAGCAAGATGCTTTCAACAATGACCATGCAGATTTGAAAAAATACCTAAATTGAACTTTTAAAAATGAAAAACATACTAATTAAAATTAAAACTGGAAGAAGATTATAGCCAACTGAAGAGAGAAGTAGGGAACTGGAAGATGAACTTGAACACAGTACAGATAGACAAAGAGATGGAAAATGCAAAAGGTAGGTTAAGCAACATGTAGCATAGAATGAAAAGGTCTGACGTACATTTAATTGCAACGCTCAAGAGTTTAAAGAGAAGAAATATTTGATATGTTAATAGCTGAGTTTTTTCAATAACTGATGGCAAATACAATCCACAGATTTAGGAAGCACAAGAGATCCCAATCTGAATAGATTTTTAAAAAATTCACACCTGGTCACATTATTTAAACCAAAGAACACTGGAGACAAAAAGAAAATCTTAAAAACAGTCAGAGAGACGAGACAGATCGCTTACAAAGCAAGGATAATTCAGTCGGCAACTGACTTCTCAAAACAACTAACCACAAAAGTCAGAGGGAGCAGAGTGATGACTTGAGAGTGTGGACAGGAGGTAACTATTAATCTAAAGTGGTAAACTCAGTGAAATTATCTTTCAAGAACAAGAATGACGTAAAATCTTGGGTTTTTTGATAAACAAGAACTAGTCGAGTATGGTACCCACAAACTATCACTAAAGACTTCCTTCAGAAAGAAGGGGGAAGACCTCAAAAGAAGATACGAAACGCAGGAAGAAATGACGTGTAGAAGAACACGGAGGTGATTATAAAACACTTTCTAAACCGAATCCACTATTTTATAAAGCGAAAGAGCAAGATGGGATTAAAACAACGGACCAAACAGCAGAAAGTCTGGAGGAGGGAATCAGAGTGAAACACTATTTGAGTCCATCTTTAAGGCAAATCTGCAGGTGAACATAATGAAGTTAACTGCTTCATAGAAAAGAACTGAGCCCAGATGCTTCAAGCAAGGACAGGTTTTCTGTTGACCCAGGACCCTGGGGTCTGCAACGCCAGAGCCTGGCAGGAGGGTCAGCGGTTCCCTGATGTACGTGTCGCTTCTTTCGCCAACAGGTTTTGATGCCTCCTCCTCAGGGTGCTGAGGAGTTCCTCAGATCTCTTCGGACCATGCCCTCCCACCAACTGCTTCCTTCCTCACTTCCCCAAGTGCCACTTCTCGCAGGTGCCCCTCTGACAACGGGCTGGGCGCCACCCACTGTGCAGCCTTCCAGCTCCCCTCTCCGGAGGCGGGCAGTCTGCGCAGAGCCATGGCGATGCTCATACAAACCTGTGAAACATGCGTGCTCCCCCCGGCCCACGGCAGCGACCGATTCCGCTGTCACGGGGCTTAAAGCAACCGGAGACAGCGTGGAGCGTGAGTTCCTCCTGCGGGTCACTGACTGTCAGGTCATGATCAGATGTACAGTGGGGCCTTGACTTACGAGTTTAATTCGTTCTGAGACAGAGCTCGTTAAGGAGCTCGTTAACTCAAATTACTCTATCAACTCAATGCAAAAAATCTGCCGAGAGACAGCTGGTATCTCAAAAAACTCGTTACTTGGGACACTTGTAAGTCAAGGCCCCACTGTAGTTGTGTTCATCATGAGTCTTGACCACACCTGGAGGTGAAAAATGCTTTATTTCACAGTTTAAAACATTACAATGCAATTCGCTTTGTATATTTGACACTGAAAAGTCCTGGGCAACAGACAGACAGACAGTTCAGTTTCGATGCTACAGACGAGGCACAAAAAACGAACAGATAGGTGACGCGGGCAGCACCTTCCTCAGCCTCCGTCCCTTCTCCTTCCTCCTGCAGGAGGCTCTCGGGCAGCGTGTACACCTTCGCCCACACAGCGGTGCTCCCGGAAGCCACGCTGAGGGGCTCCTCTCGTTCAGCCTTCCCGGGAGCAGGCCCAGCCCCACCAGCCAACCAAGACGACGCAGAGGAACGGCGCTGCCTCCCTCGCTATCTGCCCTCTTCGTTCTACTGAAAATCCCAAATGAGGGAAGTGGCAGACAGTTAGATCCTAAGCAGGTCACCCCCAAGGCCCGGAAATCTGAGTCTCAAATCTGTACTTTGGCTCAGAAATCCCTCCTCAAGGAGGACTCTAAAATCTGTGACACAGTTATCCAGGCGCCCCCAGCACGGGGCGAGGCCGAGTCCCCGGCACATCAGCAGTCGCTGGGCAGTGCCCGGGGAGGACGGGCAGCGTGTCTGTGCTCACGGCTTCCCTCCACGGCGCCAGGCCGTGGGCCTCGAGTGCAGGACTCCTGCCACCGTGCTCGGCGGGCGGTACGGAGGGTCAGCCAGACCCCAGGCCCTCAGGAGTCGCAGGAACTGGAAAGAACCCTAGACAGACAGTCCGTGGGCCTGGCTCTGGGTTTTTAAAGCTCCTTTTCAACCTCTTTCCCTTTGTTTGAGGGACCCCAGCATCCCCCCTGCCTCTCACAGACCCATGAAACAGGGCATGTGGAAGTGGCCTGTAAACACCAACACCCTGAGCATCAGGCAAATATTAGAACCCCCTTCTCGCCACCCCGGCAGCGGGAGCTCAGGCGGCTGCTCGCAGCAGCTCACGAGTGTCCTCGCCCCACTCGGATGTCCAGAGCCCCCAACTCTGAGCTTCACTGATCAGCTTCCCGGGAGGTCACAGGGGGATCCTGGCAGGAAAAGCGAGGCCCTTGAAGCACCTGGACCCCATGTTGGTCAATCTGGATCCCTACAGCCAAGTCAGTTTCAACTCCTGTCAGGTTCAGGCAGGACCCTGGGTTGGGAGGATGGGTCGTGTAGATTTGCTGTTTTTCCCCCCCCCCCCCCCCACATGCGGCCGTCGAGTCATCTGTGTGGGCAGGCGGTTTTGGGAATCGCGGATCCAGCAGAAAAGACCTAAGGCTTGGCGTCCGGAGACCAGATTCCGCGAGTGACTTCACCAACGGGTGACGGTGTACTTCTCCATCGCTAAAGCCGAGGCTGCGGCCTCCGGCAGAGGCGGCCTGAGTCTAGTCCAGGAGCCGTGTGAGTCTTTGAGACAAAGAGTAGCACTGACGGTGTGGCGAAGTGTTTTGAGCATGGAGTGCCTGGGGGTGAGTGGCAGCCCCCTCCCCACCCCGTGCCAGGGGCAGAGTGAGGCTGAGATGAGGCCCGTCTTCTCTGTAAGACTTTGTGTCGGGAGGGTGGCCGCCCGTCTTCTCTGTGAGACTTTGTGTCGGGAGGGTGGCCGGCAGCACTGGAGGCTGTGGAACGGAGCCGGAGCAGCCAGGACAGGGCTCTGGTGAGCACGCGTGGGCGGGACAGCTGGCATGCACTGTCAGCTCCGTGACAAACGTCCCCGGCTCCCTAAGGAGTCTCTGCACAGCCCAGAGACGCAGTTCATCTACCAGGGGACACTCTGCCACCTGCATCCACGTGCCCTCAGCACGTCCCCGACTCACTGTGACTCACAGGCAAACACAGCAGCTCACCCATCATCCCATGGGCCCTCCGCCTCCCCCTCCCTCTCCCAGATCACCTTTCTTTATTAACATTGGCTTTTCCCATCACTGAGAATATCATGAACTAAGATGGACGGACACACAAACAACTAAAATATCAAAATATACCCATTTAAATAAAAAACGCACACACTTTAATCTCCGGGTCTGCTGTCACTTATCCATAGCACTGCTTCACATGATGTGCACAGAACCTCCCAGTTCTTCCTTGGGCATGTCCTGTTTCCCCAGGTCCCAGTGGACAGAGACCAGTCTCACACCAGACTGGCTTTGTGCCCCAGGGAGCCCGGGAAGGAAGCTGGGCCAGCCCTTCCTCTGAGGACACACGACTCAGGAGAGCAGGAGCAAGGGCGGGCCAGGAAGCCTGGGCGCTGATGGCACCTCTGCCTTCCCTTGTCCGTCAGCCTCACCTCCTGCCCACGTGCCCAGAAGCGACTGTCTTCTCTCTTCCCTGAGGCCTTGACGTCTCAGTCACTCTACAGACAAGCTGGCCCAGCCCCGGTTACTGCATGTCTGTCACTGCCTGCACCTGTGTCGTCCTTGGACTTGCAGGTTTCCAATTTTAGTCCTTCCCACTGCCTCCTCCACCGTCACCCAAGCCAGAGTGCCCGGCTCGGAGCAGCAGTGTGTGGGGGCTCTGTGGCTGGCGTGGGGGGCTCTTTGGTGGCGAGAAGCCTGATTCAGGGTGCGGATGAAGAGATAATAGCGCCCACAGCTACCGATGTTCTCCAAGATTGCCTGAGCAAGTCAACTCCAAAGCTGGTGACTAAGAAAGGGTGTTTTAATCATCTTTTCCATCTGAAGCAGGGCCCAAATGGACAGACTAGACCTAGGCTTTTGGAGGCTAGGGACAGCAGCACGTCTAAAACTCAGCACCAGGGTTATGGCTCATGTCTTCCAGCCCTTGGAAGTGCCAGCACTGGGCTGAACTGTCCGCCTGGGTCCTCTCGGACAGGCCAGAGCCACCGCAGAGTCCTTGGTAGCCCAGTTCTCCAAGCAATGATATCAACCCATCCACTGGCCCGCACCCAGCCACTTCTTCGTTTCATTGCACGCGTACGACTGTTTTGGCAAAACCTGATGCAAATGGAATGGTCCTCTGAGAATGAGGCCCAGCTCCAGTCAGGTGGCTCTGGAGAAGCCCGAGGAGATGCTGAAGAAGGAAGCTGTCCAGGGAACCACAGATACAGGATGGACCCGTGTGGCAGGCGAGCACCCTCCAGGGATTGGACCCAACCATGAGTCCTGCCATAGCCTGGGGAGAAAGGCTTTGGCCAAAGTCTGTCAAAGAAAGTGGAGACTGTGAGACACCCAAGGTTGGATGGAGTCAGGGATTTGGGGCTGGACAGTGAAGCAAGAAGATGATGAACATGTAAAGAGAGCAAGGTCTCATGCCTTGAGTAGGAGTCAGCGATGTGGGCTCGCTCACTGGCGGTTCTTCTGCTGGTCTTAGCTGGGCTCCCTCATGTCTGCAATCAGAGAGGGGAAGGGGGAACTGGGCCCTTTCTCCCATCATGCAGCGGGACAGCCCGGCTCCTTCCCCTGGTGGTAACTGCCAGGTCCCAAGAACAGCAAGAGAGGGCAGTCCCATGCCCAAGGATTTCCCGTCTCGCTTGTGTCACGTTCGTTACTGGGCCACCAGCCCAATCACATGACCTGGCCATGCCAGATTCCAGGGTGGAGAGGCAGACTTCACTTCTGGGTGAGAAGGAAAGTGCGGCCATTTTTTTCAATTTGCACAAATTACAAAACCCAGAGTGATCTATTGGGAGGCAGACCTGTCGTTTAGGCCATGGTGGGGACAGGAAGTGCTCCTCCGGAAGCAGCGTCCCTTGTCTCCCAAAGCGTCTGGAGTGGCCACACAGTGAGGCCAAGGTGCGTGGGCACGTCTCCGGGGCCTGGAACAGCAGAGCTGCTGTGGCAGAAACTACGCATGGCAAAGGCAGTACAAACCCAGGGAGATCACGTGGAGTTCGGGAGGGAAATGGCCCATATTCCAAGTACGAGAACATGCATTCTTTTCTCTCCACTCCATTACTGCATCCTCTCCTTTCGCGCCCGCTTCTCCTGCACGTGCAGACTTGAAGCATTTATCAAAAAGCCTGTCGGCATGTGGAGGGAGGTGGGGCTGTGTGTGGCCCCAGCCCTTGTCCAAGACTCAGGCGTGTGCAGCAGAGAGAGAAAAAGCAGCTTATGTTCTCAGAATGGAAAAGGAACCCACTTAGCTTTCCAAACAGATATATACTCTCTTCCGTGTTGTTCCGACAACAAATTGAAGTCATTTCTGTCATGCGCTCGCTCACAGCTTCTGACTTCAGTGTAACCGCAGTTGCTGAGTAGTGACGAGGAGGAGATGGGATAACACGTATACTTAGCCGGAAGCTCTCCCGTTGTCAGCAGAAGGCCTTCTGGTAGCAGTAATAAGTTCTGCTGCCTCTCGGCACAGCCAGGAGGCACGGAAATGCGTGCTGGAGGCAGCGGCATTCCTGGAGCTTGGCGTCCCCAGCTCACTCCTGTCAGACTTGGAAAGAATCCTGGTTCGGCTAAGGAGACTGGGCGGGCGAGAAATGCGCGTGTGGAACGTTCCTGCGCGCAGTCACTCCCATGGCGATTTCTCAAACCGGTCAGACGGTACTGAGGTTTGGAATCAGCCTCGCTCAGGCTTCCCCCATCCCTGGCCAAAGCAAAGATCAGCAAACCTTCCAAGGTGGTGGCCGGAGAAGGTCCCGGGCCTGCTGGCGCTTGGATTTGTGTCTTGTCCCCATTGTCCACTTCTGATCCTCGTCATCCAGAGAGATGTCTCGAACAAACATCAGACCACAAGGGACATCCTGGTTGGAAAGTCATTCTGGAGAAGAGCAGAAAGAACCCAGCATGAGACCACCAATTGTTTAGAGACCCAGCGCAACAGGTGGTTCTGTGGGCACAGTCCACAGCCTGGCCTGAGCCTGGCACCCTCACCCCTAAGGGATGCACTCATACTGGGGAGAGGTGGGCATACACGCATGTGCAGGAAGTTCTGCACGCAGGCCTCCCAGCCCATGCAAGGCACCTAGAATCCCTGAACTGTTTGTTAGAGATGCTCACTAATGATCCCACCTCTCCTTCCACACACCTGCGCGCCTGCCTCTCCAGCTCCTCAGGCCACCCTGCATAGACACCGCCCCTCGCCTCCCCGAAGAGAAGACTCTCTGCCTTTCCCTTTCTCTAAAAACGCTGAGAATAACCACATTTTTTGAATAAGCAAGGAATATGTGAAAAATCCAGTTAATGGGGAAATATTTTGGTTATGAACTTTATTCACTTTTCTGCTCAATTACTTCCTTCGTAAGGCAGACCAGATTGTCCACTTGGGGGATGATGGCACCGGAAGATGGTCCCCTGACTCTCTTTAACTCCAAC